GTTGTGGCCCAACAGTGGCCGGCTGAGCTGTTGGTGGAATCTGACAGCGATGAACACTATGGTACTGCCTTGGAGGCTGAGGAAGACTCTGTGGGGTGTTCAGAGTCAGAGCAGTGACTAGAGAGGCCTGTTGGCCACCAAGTGGCGCCTGAGTCAGGGAGCAGTGAGGAAGAACAGAGGAAGGCTGTCCCTGACAGTATCCATATGCGTAAGGCTGCAAGGAGGAGGGAGCAGCTTTGGAAAAAGAGTCACAGAAGGAAATAGGAACAGGTGGCTACTGATTGGCCCCTCCCGGAGAGCTTATAGGTGGGGCAACGGGAGGGGAATTTTGCAGGAAACAACAATTTACTGATCCAGCCATAGAGAAAAATTGAGAGAATTTCATGAGTTCAAGCTTTGTTTCATAGAGATAGCTTTCTGGGCTCCCAGCCAAAGGGTTGCTTATCTCCTTCCTTAGTTGTGGCAGACAGCCAAGTCTGCATCCTTATATATTGTAGAAGCTTGGGACAGAACAGTACCAGATGATTTCGGACTCATGTAATTGTAGAATGACCAGTGACTAAGGATATATGGAGTCTTCAACATATAGAGAATCAAATCCTAAGTTAACTGTGATGAAATGATAATATTTATTTATTTAGCTTCTGTGCCATTCATCTCACCAAAGGCAGCTTTCATAAGGAAGCTTATCTTAGTGTACTAAGAAAAACAACTTTTAAAAACATTCCTAGGTCTTCTAAAGTTTTGCTGAATTGGGTTCTATACTGGTTTTTAAAAGAGAGGGGGGGAGGGAGAGATTATTTGCCAACATACTTGTACAAGGAGAGTATTAAAATAAAAGAAACAAGACTATTTTTTCTGATAAACCTCTTCAAGCATGCTCACTTTTGCCTTGTTTTTTCCCCCCTATAAAGACGGCTTCAATCGAGTCTTTCCAATGGAAAAGCTAAGTTCCTTTAGCCATGAAGAAGTTCAGATGATTCTTTGTGGTAATCAGTCACCATCCTGGGCAGCTGAAGATATAATCAACTACACAGAACCTAAACTTGGCTACACTCGAGACAGGTACTTCATCAACTAATTTTATTATTTCTATTAATTTTAAGATTTTGTCATAAAGTATAATGGTTTGTAGGAGGAAAAGAAGAAAGGAATCAATCCAGAACCATTACAACTGTGAAATTTTACTTATTACACTTTCGTATTTTTATCTTACAAGGAATTTCCCATCACAAAATACCTACATTTTCATAAGTAGTAAATTTATAAACACACACACAGACACTATTTTAAGCAGTGCACATTATTTCACGTGATTGAAGGTTTTTTTACAATTTCATCGTAAACTTCCTTCTATAGACAGAGCCCTAAGAAGCTTTCCTTTACTTAATGCATCCTATTTATCAAAGATTTAATCTCTGACTTAACTTGATTTGCTATGTGAAATGATCTTGGAGAATTTTAAGAATATACAGATTTTGTCTTAAATACTTTCAAATCCCAAAAGTAATTGAAGAAATTAGGAAGGAGGTACATTATGTAAAATTATTACTAATTACTGTTTAATTAACGATAAAGGAGAATATTTGTAGCTCAGGATTGAAATGAGGGTCTTTGGTGCCCTTTGAGCTTGGTTGTTTTCATGCAGATGGGTCATGAGGCAAACTAGGTAACATCATCAGTGCTCGTAAGGAATGGGGTTTACTGTTAGTCTTTTGGCAGTTCCTTGATTGGGGTATTCTGAACAGTAAACAGCCCAAGCAAACTGCTGCCAAGACCACTCCCACCAATGCTGACAGGGCAAGCCACTAGATAAATTGAAAGCAAACCCCGTTCCTTACTGATAATGTTACCTACATGGAGCAGCCCTTGAAGAGTGTTTGGAGACTCCAGCTGGTCCAGAATGCAGCCGC